ACTGCACTCCAGTCTGGGCGACAGAGTGGGACTCCAACTCAAAAAAAAAAATTTTGCTGGGCATGGTAGCACGTGCCTATAGTTCCGGCTACTTGGAAGAATCACTGGAGCCCAGCAGGTTGACGCTGGGGTGGCCGTGAGTGTGCCTCTGCCCTCCAGCCTGGGCAACAGAGTGAGACTCCAACTTAATAACAACAACAAAAGAATGGTGTTACAGAGGCTGGGCATGGTGGCTCACACCTGTAATTCTAATACTTTGGGAGGCCAAGGTAGGGGGATTGCTTGAGACCAGGAGTTCGAAACCAGCCTGGGCAACATAGCAAGACTACATGCCTGTAGTTCTGGCTACTTGAGAGGCTGAGACAGGATTATCACTTGAGCCCAAGAGTTCAAGGCTGCAGTGAGCCATGATCATGCCACTGCACTCCAGCCTAGGTGACAGAGCAAGACCTTGTCTCAAAAAAATAATAGTGTTGCTGGTGAAGAACCTTGAAGAGCCTAGGATTTGGGGTCCAGACAGGGGTCCAGGGTTTTGTAGCTTCTCGGGAATAGTGAATTATGGGATTTAGGGGCAGAGGAGGCGCCCCAAGATTTGTGGAATGTAAAGGCTGAAGGAGTGTGGGACTGGTGGCCTGCAGGAGGGGCCCAGGGCTCCTGGGAGTTAAACTGAGCTTTTCGGGTTGCCGGGTTAGGCCAGGAAGGTAAGGGGACTAAGACTCATAGCCCTTCTCACAGTGACACGCCTTTCTTCCCCCTCAGAAACCCAAACCTGCCTCAGTGGATGCCAACACCAAGCTGACGCGGTCCCTGCCCTGCCAGGTCTATGTGAATCACGGAGAGAACCTGTAGGTGACTGTCCGGGTGGGCGGGCAGGCAGGGCTAGGGCAACCCCTTCCTGACACTTTTCCTGGCGTTGCCCCCAGGAAGACGGAGCAGTGGCCCCAGAAGCTCATCATGCAGCTCATCCCCCAGCAGCTGCTGGTGAGTGGCCGGCAGGAGGCCCACTCCCGAGGCTGGACGGCTGGCTCCCTGGACAGTCTCCTTGTCCCTGCCCTGCCCTGCCCCTCCCCGCCTCTGTGTCCCCGCCTCCCTCCCCCACGTACACACCGGCCGACTTCTGTGTCTCCCCCAGACCACCTTGGGCCCTTTGTTCCGGAACTCAAGGATGGTCCAGTTCCATTTCACCAACAAGGACCTGGAATCTCTCAAAGGCCTCTACCGCATCATGGGTAACGGCTTTGTAAGTTCAGGGCAGGGCAAGCCCAGGGGCACTGACTTCTCTGTCCTTCCTTCTACTGACCTCTGATGGGAACCCCCAGGATGCTTGGGCCAAGGGAGTTGGGGTTTTTTGTTGCTTACGTTTTTGAGTTGGTATCTCACTGTCTACCAAGCTGGAGTGCAGTGGCACTATGACTGCTCACTGCAGCCTTGACCTCCTGGGCTCCGGTGATGCTTCTGTCTCAGCCTCCCAAGTAGCTAGGACTTCAGGCGCACACCTCCACACCTAGCTAATTTTCTTTTGATTTTTTTTGTAGTCATGAGGTCTTGATTATGTTGCCTAGGCTGGTCTTGAACTCCTGTGCTCAAGCAATCCTCCTGCCTTGGCCTCCCAGAGCCCCGGGATTACAGGCGTGAGCCACTGTGCCTGGCTAAAGGGGCATGTTTTGATGATTGGGTGGACTTTGGGAGCTTGGGCTCCTCGCCTTTCTTCTAGAGCCTTAACTTTTATCTGTAGTATGTACCAGATTGAGGTACTTTCCGCATTAAAAATATGACCAGGGTGTGACAGGAGCAATTAGAAGGAAGCTATTGATTTTGACTGGGGTTTCCCAGGTGTGTTAGTTTCCCGTGGCTGCTCGAGCACACTGCCACAAACTGCCTTAAAACAACAGACATTTGTCTTTCCCAGTTCTGGAGGCCAGAAGTCCAAAGTCAGGGTGTCAGCAGGGCCATGCTGTCTCTACCTGCTCTAGGGAGGGTGCCTCATGTCCTCTTCCAGCTGGCAGCCCCAGCTGGAGGCTCTGGCTGAAGTTGAAGAGCAGACCCAGCGCTTTCTCTCTACTCGGCCTCTCAGCAGTCAGCCAGAACCCCAGCCTTATCCTGTCCCTTTGGGCACCCAGCTCCCCTATGAGCCCCTCGGTTTCTGTCTCCCGAGCAGCCTCAAGGAAATCTCTGAGCTACTCAGCCTTTTACAGTGGAAGCCTCACCTTCCCTTGCCTGTGGGGTTTCTAGAACCTTCTGGAATGGGGAGGGTTCAGTGCTGCCTCCTCTGGGGCCCGAACAGTTCTGAAGAGCCTCCATCCTCCCAGGCGGGCTGCGTGCACTTCCCCCACACGGCTCCCTGCGAGGTGCGCGTGCTCATGCTGCTGTACTCGTCCAAGAAGAAGATCTTCATGGGCCTCATCCCCTACGACCAGAGCGGCTTTGTCAACGGCATCCGGCAGGTCATCACCAACCACAAGCAGGTCCAGCAGCAGAAGCTGGAGCAGCAGCGAGGGGTGAGCCAGCACAGCCCCTCCCCCTCCGTCCAGGGCCCTAGAGCTCAGGCAGTGGATCCCCCCCCCCCCCCCCCCCCC